ATTTCTTTCAAATAGTAAAAAGCATTTTTTCTTATTGAAGTTGGCTATTTATTTGTAATTGTTATAAAAATTTACAACAAAGAATGATTTCTGTAACCTTGACATTTATAAATATCAAAAGTTTATTAACTTTTGATTATTTAACAGAAAGATAATAATTTTTTGCGCCGACAGAGGACTATTAAATCAATTATTTCTATATATGTACTAAAGGACTAGCGCTTTTACTTATTTAAACAGATCAATATTTTCATTTTGGGAGCGTTCAAGTATTACGTAACGCAACTTTCGAAGATTTTTGACCCCCCCTACCCCCGTCGTAACGCACAGTAACGTTTTTCTGTAGCCCCCCCCCCCCTCCCTTCTCAAAACGTTACGTAACACTCAAGTGATCAATTTCATCAAAAGACTTACAATGCAATCTAGGTATTCCCCGTAAAATATTAATTAAGAGGTTTGCAAACTTTGAATAACAAATAAAAATATCGACCAGACTAATACAATCTGGTCAACAATGTAATGTATATGAAAAGAGTTGCCAGTTTGGGGGTTTTTATTAATATATTTTTTTAGAAACAATGCTACGTAACGTTTTGTAAGAGACACCCCCCCTCCCGCCCCAGTAACGCATCGTAACGTTTTACGAGACCCCCCCTCCCCCAAAATTGCGTTACGTAATACTTGAACGCTCCCTTTACCCGAGACACGTTTAGTCACTGGAGTTTAAGTACCCTGTTATATTATGAAAATATACAAGCCCTTTTTAGTAAAAAATATGTTATGTATAACAATCTTAAACAAATTATCAGTATATACTTAGTTACGGAATCCAAAACAAATTTCAAATAAGTACACTGAATACCAGAAGTATTTATAACGATTTTATTTTTTCTAGCTGACCCGGCAGACCTCTTACTGCCTCAAACAATAAATAACTAATTTTTATTTATTTTTCTGGAGTTTACCTTTAAGCCATAAACCTCCATATTCTGAAGTGGGACAGAATGATTGACATATTAGTTAGTTGTCAAATCTAATGTAAAAAAAAACGTTTGTATGGGAAATAGAATTTTTTTTCAGCTTTTAAACCTTCCTTGAACCTCCACGAACATTTCAAGACTAAGACATTCATTTATATTATATTTAATTATATATATATAGATTTCCTATTATTATATCTACCTAATACGTGCTAATTATATAAGTATTCGCACTTGTTTATATGAAAAATGTAGTTATGTAAAATAACTAACTTAACTGCGTTATCAGTATCGAAAATGGCACACAATCAAATAACTTACATTTACAAACTCTTCAATAAAAATAATAAAATTAAATATTAAATGATTATTATATGTAGAGTATCCAAATGTTTGTACTCACTGGTATAACACGATGAGACTCTATGGCGCCATCACACCTGCTGCGCTACTAGTGACGAACTCTAACGTACATTCACATGATTTTAATTGTTTAATCACTTTAACGATTCACTGATACCACTTTTTTTCAAATATCGATACGTTTCACTATGCTACAAATCAATTTAAAAATAACACTTACGACTATACGGCGTCTTAACCGTTTATGGGTCAGATGTTTGAAACATTTTTTCAAATAATGTCGATTTAAAACTTATTTAGCATATGCACTGTAACTGACCTCTGCTTGATATTTTTTAAGTTATACTATTTTTAATAATAAGCTTATACTTATTTGTATACATGCCTTCAAGGATTGACACAGTTTTTAGAACACGCTGTAACTAGGTATATGTCAGCAATATTTTCGTAATCTAGCCTTTCTATCACAATAGATTATGGGCTTTATTTTTTTCCCCCCGAAACTCAGGATTTCTTTCAAAGGTAGACAATAAAATAGGCCAACTAACAATTACAATTGATTAATTATTTTTTAATACATTATATTATATAATATTTTTTGTCGCATATAGATTAATATATTTTTAAATTTGAAATATTAAATTTATAGTAATTTTTTATTATCTTGAGTTTAAAATAAAATAATTATGCTTTAATTTTATGAAATAATTGATAAAAAAAGGATTTGATTTTAAAATTAGTAAAATACGAAATACAATTTTATTTCATCTAATTGAATACCTACTAACCAATTTTTGTTTATTTCTTTATAATTATACTTACAAATAGCAAATATAAATTATATTATGTACATATTCCAGGGATGTCTGAGAGATACATAAAACTGTTAACTTGATTTTCTTTCATTTTAATGTGGGTTTAAAGACTTATGAACTAGATACTTGCTTTTAACCGATTTCATTATCAAAACTTTTATATATGTGACATGATTGATATTTTATTTTTAATTAAATAAATATTATTTTTCATTTCATAACACTTATTCAAATTAAAGTATCAAATATCTGTATACAAAAAAAAACATTGATTCATTTTTTAGGGTAAATACTACATATTATGCAAATGTTCCTTGAGAAAATAACCTGTTACTAATGTACAAATTAACAAATATTCAATTCCATTTTTAATTGTATTTTTTTTTTACTTTAACATAAATCTGTAATGTCTAGGTGGTTAAATATCCCAGTCTTTAACCGTCCTAACATAGGTATTTCATGAAATGGCTGTAAAGTATGTGCAGAATAAAGTTCTAGTCAAAATTAATTGACAATACAATAAAACGCTTCCAATAATTTATCATAAATATTAATAATGAATGTATTAATATTCAACTATCATAAGCGAATAGGAAAATGATAAACGACGTGGCACAAACGATCACGTCACGTTGTTTACATGCAATTTAATTTGGGCGAAACATTATATCACTATATTTATGTACATAATTCTAAAATTTGATGTACCACTATGTAATAATATTTTAAATAACATCAATGTGCTCTAAATGCAAATGTAATGGCATTAAAGTAACTATTGGAGACGGTTGCTGAATCTAATCTGTTCAGGCCAAAATCTTCGTCTTTAATGAAAAGGTCTTAGCAAAGACGTAATTAGAGCTCTTGGATTAAATTAAATACCATTCCGAATTTACCGATGGAGATAAAAGCGGATAATATTTTATGATATACAAACTAATTTACAATTTTATCGTTCATTGTTACAAAGACAATATACCTAATATATAAATTAAGCTAAATAAAACTAATAGTAGGAGTAATAATGTTTGGCTTTCTTTCCTTAGCGACTAGATACGATTCAGGGCTTTTGTGAGGATTCCTGTGTCGTCTTAATCAAAATATATTTCTACTATTTATATCAAGCATCATTTTTCTTTATATGTAGCTGGACACCCACAAATATGTGCAGGTGAAGGACTTAAAGATTTTTACATGTAAATTCATATTCTATAATGTATTTTATAGACTCAATACCACCATTTGTGCGAACGACACGAAATTTAAATAAAAATATATATGAAAAAATTTGTTAAATAAAAGTATATATTTTTTTTAAATTTAAGCTATACACTTACATAGAGGTGAAAAATTTGTATAATGGAAAAAAATATGGTGGCCAATTCATATCATTGAGATATGTATTAACTTACAAAAACAATATTAAATCAAATTTTTCCAATAGAAATATCGCTGCTAAAAAAAAAATTATTTAAAAAACTATCCTGAACTTACAACGTTGTTACATTTAATAAACAATACCTTTATTCGTTAAGTTTAATGTTAAAAGAAATATAAAAAGGCTCTTCAGACCGAAATCCTCAAACGTCTTTTAAAATTTATAGGCTATAACCGAAAAGCCCATTAAAATTAGCTTAATTCTTATACACACAATAACTTTTCTTTCAGTAGATTAACCACAAAATTTTATCATGAAAACCTCTATTGTAATTCACCATTCATCCGTCTCTAATATCTGTAGACCCAACTAACAAGAAAAGTTTAACTTATTTTACTAATAATTCATATGTATGTTGTATTCATGTATATATTTAACAAGATTTTTATTATTTATTCCAACATGTAAATACTAACGCAACTTACTCTTCACAATGCCAATTACTCTCTTTGTAATTACCAAACAGACTCGTAATTATCACTCTTAGTAATTACCAAACAGACTAGCATATTTTTTCTATTTACTCCACTTTAAACGATACCAACAATTAAATTCTTTATAGTTTATTTATAAAATATATATGCTCCTATTACTTATCATGCGAGGCAAAACCAATGCAAGCATAAGCCCTGGAGTTTTTATAGTAAAATAAACTCGGTCACTAGAGAGGTGTTAATCCTCATAAGAACGCATAGGGACAAATACTTATTTGGATCTTATTCGAATTTTGCGCGGTATTCACGTTAAATCCTCTGTTTGAGATTCTGCTTCATTATTGTAAATAAAATTGATATTATTTATTCGAAGAGACAATTACTCTGTCTAAATATTTTTAGTTATTCTTATCCAGATTTCTTTCTTTGAAAAAATGGCACATTTGTACAAAAGTAATTTAATGTTGACATATTTATAAGTTGTTTTCGATTATAAAAATCAGGGTGATATCAAACTCAAATATAGATATTATAGATATTTCAGACAAAAACTTAGACCGTTATCAACCGCAAGTGCAGTTTTATAAAATTGTATGTCCTAAATCCTTTATTAAAGAAAGTATTTACCGTAAGAACAAACTGTACAGTACCTATTGTCAGTTTCATAATGTCACTTGTCACGTTTCATTACCTACCGATTGCGATCAAGGTACGTCAGAACTCAGAAATAAAGGTCTTAAATAGGTATCAAACACCTTAACCTTCCATTTAAATTAACGTTACTGTGTTACATTTCACATTATGTGCTTATAATTTGGCTGCGACTGTAACATTGCCAATTTTCTATGCATCAAAGATAATCTACCTTTGATTTCCTTCCATATATGTGTTGTTTGTGTTGACTGTAAGTAATAAGATATTGACTCTTGTATTTTAACTACACGTCTAAGTATTAAGTTATCCGTAATCAATGCCATACATTTTGATTCGAGGCAATCTTGCTTCGTATGGGCATAAAAACCCTTGGCGAGTCTTGGTATCCGGCTTGAAAGGTAGATTTCGATTACTAATACGTTTATCTAAAAATGAGAAATTTTATCAACAAACAGATCTGTCATATCTCTGTTATCTAGTTTATCGGGCATGTGTCTATTCTCATTTTTAAATAAACTTTGATGTCTTTATAATAACTTTAGTGTGAATGTATCATATTTATAACTTTCTTTTTAAATAGCTGGTGACATTGAGCAACTGAAAAGATTTGCATGTGGTGGATATTGTGATGATTCTACCATAGTCTACCTTCAGCATCCCTGTGTAATCTTAAGTGCTCTTGAGGTACTACTATCTAATTGACTATTTTTTCATTTACCATTTCAAATTTACATGAATTTAAATGTTGGAATTACATTAAATTATTACAGGTATTAGGTTACAAAGTTGTAGCATCAAGTTCAACTGCTGTAAAACAAGATTACAATGAGTACATGTGGACTATGAGAAAAGAATTTTCTGAGCCAGAACCCTCAATAATTGTTGAACAAGACAACATAACCAACTTTAGTAAAGAAGCTTTGCATTACCAACATTCTAATAAGGACGACGAGGTTTAGCCATACATATATTTTTTCATTGTTTGAGATTAGTTTAATATTAATATGGACACAAAAGGGAGCCGTAATGTTTCAGCCTCTAATTTGATTGCAAATCCTATTCCTGAAGTAGAAGATGGTGTTGTATATGTCGCTATAAAAGGGTCATTGCATTCTAATGATTGTTCTGCATTTGGATTAGGGCAGGAAGAAATTAAAGCCCTTATCAAGAAATTCCCAGGCTCTGGATCCGATGTTGTTAATGGCATTACCATTAAGTCAAATGTTCTTCAAGCTATAAACTCTATGGCACAGCTTGGTTACAAAGTTGTCTGTAGTACTGGGGAGACCGAAATTACTTGGACCCTTCAAAGAGATCTTTAAATTTTTTTGTCGTATGTCACATATATCACCAGTATATTAATTGATATTTTATTCATAGTTCATTAATTAATTATATTGCAATGGATCATAAATGTAATCTTATAAATCACAGCACATGTTGTGTGTCTAGTGCTAATAAATCTGTGCAACAAACATTGTCTGAAATGGATTGGGAAAGAAGCATTTGGAATGCAGGTATTTTTTTATCAACATTTTTGTTTTAATCTTAAGAAATGCCACCTGTCACAAAATGATTTTAGCTTTCACAGGTGACCAGAAGAAAGTGCAATCATTACTTGATAAGTCTAATAATCCTAAAGAACTTGTCAATAGCCTAGACAATTCTGGTTATACTGCATTACATTATGCTGCCCGCAATGGACATTTGAATATTTGCAAACTCCTCTTAGACCATGGCGCCTATATTAATGCCCAGACAAGAAGTGGCAAAGCCACACCTCTTCATAAAGCAGCTTGCTCAGGTATTTTATGTATATATCCACACAAACATCATTTTTATCTTATGTGGCTTAATATCATTTTAATAGTAATCTTATCAATATTCAATTATAGTATATTATTTTTTGTCACATGACTTAAATTTATGATCATTATGATGTTTCACTCATCAAAGAGATTAAAAAAGGGTTATATATTAGTTTTTTATTATATACTAGCTACTACCCGCAACTCTGCCTCCTTAAAATAAAAACTAAACACAATGAAAAAACTTCGTCAGATGCATCCCTCCTTCCTCTCTCGCTTGATTACGCTTAATTTCGGGATCGGAATGAAAAGTAGCCTATATTACACCCTATCACATCAGCTACCTGCCGATTTAAGTCTTGTCAAAATAGTTTCCGCCATTTCACAGATTAGCCATTACAAATAAACAAAAATTGTAATAAATGTTATTTTGGTGTTTGTATCATACATGTATTCATATGCATGTAAAATGGTTATTTCAGTATTACAAACAGACAATCCAACTTTGTTAATATGTGTATATAATACTGTTTTTTCAACTATGCATAGAAGTGTAAAATATGTGGTGATTATTGTGACCTTGTTTTCATATACAAGGATATTTATAGTAATTTAAAACTGGGACTATATAAAGTATTAAAAATTAAAATCCTCTTACAGGCAAGAAAAATATAATCATGTTTCTTATAAATAATGGAGCACAGATTGATCTACAGGATTCAGATGGTAAAACAGTGCTCCACAGAGTCACTGAAAATAAACAAGTTGATCTCATTAGCACCTTGCTTGAAGCTTGTCCTAAATTAAAAGATATTAAGGATAATAGAGGTAACTTGGCAATTTAACATAATTAAATGTATATTTTGTTTATTAAATTTAATATATCATATAATTCACTTTCTATATCTTGAATGTATACAATTTTATAATTTATTCTAAACAATTTTTAATTAAATCACTATATGAGTAGTTATTATGAACAACTAAATACATTTATAAATAATTAAATTTCATATAAAATGATAATTAGCTTGTTAAATAAACCCTGTACTACAATAGATACTTAATGAGGTTTAATGATCTATAGACAGTATTTTCATTCTGTATTCTGAAGACTTCCATATTAAGAAAGTATTTGTTATGTATTCACTATATTTAACGTCTAAATGTTCTGCACACTGTTCTGCTTTTATAGTTGCTTCCATATAAGAAACAGGCTTCTTAGAAGTCTATTACATTATCACGAAGAACATAATTAGTTTTAGATGTATTTAAATTAATATATACATTAAATTAACTGAAATATTTTACATGATCCTGTTTTATAATACCTTACTTCTACCTATTACTTAATTGTGAGATTAAATTTTATGTAGTGGAAGATCAACTATACATTTATTTTATTAATAAATTTTGACTAGTAAATAGGTTTTTGTATCACTAATTGTAGTTTCCATAAAAATGTTTTATATTTTTCACTAATTGTACACCTTTGTACTACTTTAGGTACATTATTTAAACATTTATTAAAAAATATTTAATGTCATTGTATTCTTTTATTTTCCTGCTGTTTCAATTATTTATTTTTTAGTATAGAAATTATCAACTAAACATATTTCATACATATTCTTTGTTTATATAACATACATATCACATCTACAAGACTATTTTGATTACAAACATTTTATATTTGGTATAAGTTTCTTAATAAACTTTTAAGTAACAACATATTAAGACCTACCATAAATAATATTAATAGATAATTTCACTAGTTTTTGAATTAAGATTATAATACATATGTGATTTTGAAAAATAAATAATAACACTGGTTTATTTCCATATTGAGCCAATAAATAAAAGTGGATAATAAATAATCACAACTCTGTTTAACTTGTTAACATAAGAACCCTGTGAAATAGTTATTTAGCCAAAATCATGTTTTAGTTTTATTAACTGTTGTATTTGAGCCTAAGTGTAGTTAAATGTGTAGTTTTTACAATTAGTTGAACTAAACTACTATTGGACCAGCTTCTATGTATCTTCTAAACTTTCAGCTTCCATCATAAGAAATGTTTTTAATCTCTTTGGTAATGGTAAAGAACTAACATAAGAATACAAGGGTCTATTTTTACATAATTGTCGTATTTTAATCCTGCATAAATCTAACAGCAAATTAGGTTGCTTAAACACTTGGGCCAACCAATCTGAGGTTGTTCCTGGTTTTGGTGTTGGAGCATTTTTGTCGTAAATATGTGTGAGGTGACCGGCTTTTAGGAGCATATTAGCGAGTTTATTGGATCGCCGTTTGCTTGCTATTGTTAGATTATCTAAGCCACAGGAATGAAGATCGCAAGCGTTAACGTCCACGCCATGACGAATTAATAAAATCGCCGCATGATCTCTGGAACATAAAGCATTATTCAGATACAATAATTTATTTACCGAATATCATTAAAGTGTACTTACTTTTGCAAAAGCAAAGCTCTATTAAGAGCAGTGTCACCAGTCAACGCCGTGGCGTTTACGTCAATTTTATAGTCGAGCAGACATAATAGCAAGTCCTCAAAATCCTTAGGAGACTCAACACTTTCTACGGCGATATGTAACGCGCTCGCCCCTGTTATGCTGTTACAAGCGTTCACATTAGCACCTGCAAAAAATAATAAGTCTATATTATTCTTAATAAATATAAATGCTATTTTTGCCTATTACAATAAGAATAACTGTAATGCGCATTTGTTATAAAGCTAAATTGACGTGCGTGGCTGGTTTAAAATAAAGTAATAATAGAAATCTTAACATAGGTTTACAAATATGTATGTATATTTTTTGTATATACATAGATGGAATTAATGGCCGTCCTAAGTCATTTTACTAAAAACATATTCTTATGTAACCTTTTTGCAGTAGTATCCTAGCGACGGCTGGTTGGGATAGTCGGGCTGCTAAAAGAAGTGGTGTGTCTCCATTATCATTATGTAAATTAACACCTCCCCTCACATTAGATAACATTCTTACGATTTTTTCCTAAAAGAAGATGCGATTTTAGTTGTAGTACTTATATTATGAGAACGTACCTGTATAGGTGTGTAGTATGAACCCTACGTAATATGTCCTCAGAATATAAGAGTGTAGGTACGTAAGTACTCAATTTAATGTATAATATATTAAAAATAAAATGATTGTATTAATAGTTTTCTATAGGTAGATTATATTACTTATTTATATTTAAAAAAATACTTCAATCTATTATACCTCTCGCTGTATAATAGCGTTGTGCAAAAGTTTGTGCGAATATGTTATGCGAGCTCCGGAACTTAGCAAAAGCTCAACAACTTTTGAATAACTCTGCCAAACTGCTTCGCATAGTGGAGTATAACCTGAAATTTTGTAACACTTATTATTGATATTTAATTAGACGCCAATGGTTAAACTAATATTTCCCGTAATTTATTTTAATATGTTTATATACATTTATTTCTGTAAGGTTATTTTATGTAATTTCTGCCTTTGTTAAGCGCCATGTTTTATATAGATATATATCCCAACAGGATTGATATTGCAGAAAGGTGCTAACCGTTGTACATTACAGGACTTGCCTCTTTTTTGTTTGTGTCTTGCACAATAAAGGATAAAATTTTCTCTATCATGCATATCTAATTAATTTAACTTGTATTGATCAAGTAACTGTTAATGTTTTATGATAACTGAAGCTTAAAAAAATATATGAGAAGGAGAAAAATTCGTTTAATAACTAACCATGGATTTCTTCACCATTCACATTGGCACCAACTGATATGAGGTACTTGACAACATCCAAATGACCCCTCCCTGCTGCTAAGTATAACGCTGTGCGTTCATTTGTGTCTCGAGCCTCGAGATAAGCTCCATTACTAACCAGAACTTTCACCTTAATAAACAATGATAAGCATATTAATTACAACACATATAATAGCAATGATATAGTTCTATAAAAAATACTAAATTTTAAATTAAAGTTTAGTGTTTATATTTAAAAGATTTACAAGATAACAAGCTGTCAAATATTATTCTAATATAAAAAAACAGTAAAAAAGTTGAGTATAATCACAAATGTAATTTTGACTAACAATGACAGACATTTATGTACATACTATTGTAATCATAATATAGGATAAGATTATGGTTATTTTTTATTTGAGTATTTTGGTAGTTTAACTCTTTAACAGACTATTTAAAAATGAAGATGTATTTATATAAAAAAAATATTAAACCTTTATATCAACTTTAGCCTGCACATACCTTAAAGTTACTTTAATATGAAACACTAACCAATTTCAAATAACCCCTTGATACTGCAAAATGCAATGGTGTCATCTTCTCATAGGTTTTATAGTTGACATTGCTCCCGGCCGCTAACAGTTGCAATACTATTTCTATATGGTTTCTCATGCTGGCTATGTGCAAGGATGTTAAGCCATCCCCAGCTGGGAGGTCTACTTTACAACCTGAAATAATACCTATCTCATCAAAAATTTATAAGGTTACAATTTCTAAAATAATTTTGATAATTAATTAATTAAGTCAGAAGTGCCCTAGTGGTTAAAAGGCCCGCCGCCCATACACGTGGGCGCGGGTTCGATCCTGGTCCTGGCAAGTACCAATGTGATTTTTCCGAGTCATATGTACTTTCTGAGAGTATTTAGACATCACTGATTAATGCATTCCCAAAGAGGGTGGATATCAGGTAGACGGCCTGTCTTCTAAACAATGAGCCAAAAACTATTTACAACATGTTCTGTGGAACCGAAGAACATATTGTGCCGTCCCTACATAAAATGGGATCAGGCCAGGAAAAAAAAAAAACTTCAACATACCAGCATCTAGCATAAGCCTTACAATTTCAGAATGACCCTGTTCAACTGCATAGTGCAAAGCGGTTCTCATAAAAGCATCCTGTTGGTCAATTCCATTCGATACCACCGATGCTGATGCTATAGCAGCACCAGTACATTCAAGTATTGCAGCATACCATCTGAAAGTATAAGTAAAATTTAGTAGTTTATAAATTGTGAAATTTTCCTTCCTAGCCATCAAAATAAATGTTAATTCAAATATAAAAAAGTCTCAAAAAATAAAACATATTTTTGCACTTCTATTTAGCCCATGTAAATCAAAATTGGAACAACTAACAAACATTGTATGTTGTAATGATATCCAAGACTTTCACAAGTCTTAAAATTCATTAAAATTGAACTAATATTTTCATTAAAATTAAGCTAATGTTTTCAGATTACTAGGTATTATTTTATTATTTTTAAAACAACATATTCCTGATGTTTCAGTTACTGTGCAACAACCGTGATCACAGGTGGGCAAGATGAGTATGTAGGTTTAAAAATAATTAAATAATGCATACTAATCCAAAAGTATTGGTTTTATTTAAATTATACACATATAGTACCTTATAGATTGTATTTCTTTTTGTTATTTAAATGTTTGTTGTCAATACTTACTGATACATTGATGACCATGTTTCATCTTCTTTTGTGGTCGGAGCAACATTTATTGTCTCTTCATCCCATTCCAGGTCCAACTGTGGTGTGGACACAGCAGATGTAGGGCTTACTGGTGTTTTCAAGCTTATTTTGCTTTCATCACTACTTGATCCATCACTATGAATAAATACAAAGTACCCTTGATTTTTATCAGACTTAAGAGAATCTTGAAAAGAATCAGATTCATTAAGTGGACTAGACCTTATTTTTCTATCACAAGTGTTTTTACATTTTATGACTGTATCTTCATTGGGGCAATTTCCTCGCATTTTTCTTTTTTGTGTCTTTGAATGTCTCTTCTTAGAAGCACTATTAGGGGATAACATTTTTGTAGTGCATGTAGACTTAAAATAGTCAATTAGTATTTCGAAAATTTCTAAATTTCCAATGTTAGCTGCTTCTCCTAGTGACGTTTTTCCATGACTAGTTATCTTGTTTGGGTTGGCACCTGAAAATTTATAACTGTGGTTTACTTAATGAATTGTCACCTAATCTAGACTACTATTGAAGTCTACCTTGTAGGACAAGCTGAAGCACAGAATCTTTGTCATTTTTAAGTATTGAGTCATATAATCTATCTTCCAGTGACTTCTCTGCCATATTCAAAGTATTATAATATCAAATCCCAAATTTGAGCGAGTCTTAATTCTTCTGGATAGTCAATAATAATAAATATTTACTGACGTCAATAATTACAACTAGGAAATATACATTTGAAATTGTTTTTTATTTTTAAACCATTTCTTCTTGGTAAATACAACAGCTTTAATCTAGAATATTGCATGGCTTAAATGTCGATTGAGAGACATTTCAGACTAGACTCTTTGTTATTTTATTTCTTTGAAGAAACCACTAACCAAACTCCTCTAACACTTTTAAATAATACTATATTGACAATTACATTTCATTCATTATTATTAAATATTATTAAAAATCTGACTTTCAGTAAGTCTTAGTATAATGTCAAAATGTCAAATATAAAATGACACTAGTAACAAGTAAAATTTAAATTCTGATTAAAAGACATAGCATAGAAAAAAATGGCGAATAAAACGTCCCAAAACCAACATATTTTAAAATCCTCATGACCTGAAACTATTGATATAACTTTGAAAAACAATAAAGTTAAATTGATTGTCGTCATTACTTCTAGGGTGAACCAAAAATGGCTTGAACACTTAATAAAGATCTAGATATGTCTAACTTGTAACTATGACATTTTTTATATTAAAACATTATCTCTTAATAAGCCGCACATTACATAATATATAATCTGAAACATCAAAAGATTGAATACATAAAATTAATTTTTTTTTGGTCAAGAACGTTTCAAAATATGTTTGTGTTTTCAATTATCTCAACTTGCCAGAAAATAGGATAAGTTACATTTTTATTTAAAAAGCCAATTATTTATTAAGCCTTGCATACGTTTCATAATATCCAATTAAATGAGTAAATCACATGATAAACTTAATTAATTTACATGGTATATTTTATTTTAAAAGGTCTGGTCACTGTTTTTCTGGATTTGATATTGATGGATAGTTATAAGAAACCGTTTGTTCCGCTTATGTACCACCATATTTTTGAAATCAATAAATAATAGGTATTTAATAGCCCTAGAACTTTCCCAGTTTAATATTAATGGCTTTTTATTTATTTTTAGCCTATGACAAATGTCAAATTTCGGTCACACAATCTGTGATATTTAATATTTATTTTTGGAAGACCGTGAGTGGAGTGAAGCGGATATAATTATATATATTTGTACGCAAAATTTTAACTAAATTTCTTAAAATTGATTGCATTATAGCAATGTTAGTTAATATTTTTATAGTGCTTTTGAGATGTTGTATCTGAATGGTTTAGGATATTCGATAAGCATTAATATTTACCTATTTCCTTTACTGTCATTTTTATTTCTTTTTATGTAAATATGTGTCTGAGGCAACTTCTCTTATTTTCGGTCATACTAATTTTATTTGTATTAGCATGTGAGCAACCAATCGAATAGCAACTGAGTAGGTGGCTAAATCAACCTACATAGTTAACAAATTAAAGTTATTTCTTTTTCTTTTCAGAAAACATGATATTGTTCTTATCAGAATGTCTGTTGAGAATTGCTTAGTGAAGGCAATTTATTCATTCAAGGGTAAAAAACAATGACGAATTATGTTTCAAGAAAGGTGACATTATTACAGTCACTCAGAAGGAAGAAGGCGGCTGGTGGGAGGGAACTTTAGGTGAAACAACAGGATGGTTCCCTAGTAACTATGTTACTGAATATAAAGGTAAATATTAATAGATTCTAGAACATTCTCTATAAGATGGTTAGATGAAAACCCAAAGGTTTTAATGTCACAATTGAGATATGTAATTGAACCATATCATAGATTATTATACATAATCCGCAAGATGTTTAATATTATTCCATTTAAAGGAAAGTTTTCACTTAGAAGTGAATCTGGATCTTTAAGAACAACAATGCAATTTTTTAGTTTTTTATTGCTTGTTATTGCATCAAAAGAAAGATATAGAAATTTACAGAAAAGTAGTCAGCATTAAAAAAAATTGTAGTAAATCTGAAAAACATCGTTTTATTTAAAAGATATGAAAAAAGTTTAAAATAAATAAACTATAAATTGTAGTCTTTTTTCATCGTATTTCTATTTTCACAGACACTTCTGGCTCACTTACCACATCACCTATAAGGGCTGCTTCAGAAATACAAGCTTTTAGAAATGTAGTTCTAAAAGACATAATTGATTCAGAAAAGGCCCATGTAGCAGAAATGCAAGGACTTGTCAGCAATTTCTTGCAGCCGTTGGAAAAGAGTGATATGTAAGTTACCTCATATTTTAATAATTAAGAATATATTAATGGTATAAAATTAGGTTTTTATGATATATGCTATATCAATAATATATTGAAAAACATGTTATACTATTTCAGATTGGTTAAAGATGAATTTAAGCAGCTGACTGGGAATATTAATGAGGTGCTGCAAGTACATGAGCAGTTCCTCTCTCTTTTAGAGGAATGTGCAATGAAGACAGGGCCAGATCAAAGGGTGGGAGGATTGTTCTTACAGTGGGCGCCAAAGATCAAGACAGTACATCTGACATACTGTGGTGGACACCCCAAAGCAGTCTGCATTCTTGATAAATACAAGTAAGTTTGTTGCAATTATAAAAATTGTTAATAAATGCATCATAAAAACAATTACAATGTAATTAATATATGTAAGTAATGTTAATGTCTGGGTGGTAATTGGAAATAAAAAAGTTTAATGTATAAATATTGAATGGAAAAATAATTATAATAACAAACAAGATTGAACCTACAACTTGTGGTATATTGTATTACATTCTCAATGTGCTAGATTTTACTGGTGTGAATTCTGCTTGCACAATGAATTTTATATTCAATTATTTTATTAAATCTTTTTTAGAGAAGAACTGAACACCTGGATGGAAAATGCTGGAGCGGTGTGTCCAGGGGTTCTTGTTCTTACTGCTGGTTTATCAAAACCATTCCGACGCCTCGGCAAATACCCTGCCATGTTGCAAGAACTTGCTCGCCATGTCCATGAAGCTCATCCAGATAGGGGTGACACTCATAGAGCATCGGTTGTTTACAAGGATATTGTTGTAAGTAGTACTTAATTAATTCCTAAATTATCTTCAAACATAAATAATTTGAGTGTAAAACATATGGGAAATGTTTTGTAACTTTTAAAAAATATGAGCCTTGATTTTAGAGTGCCTGTGCAGCTTTGAGGCGTCAGAAAGAGTTGGAACTTCAAGTAGTAACGGGTGAAGTCCGTGGCTGGCCTGGTGGCGAGCTCACGTCACTCGGCGATGTTTTACACATGGGTAGTGTTGCAGTTGGACCGTCACATCAGGATAGATATCTTGTACTCTTTCCTTCCGCTTTGCTATTACTATCTGTTAGTAAGCGCGTATCTGCGTTTGTTTATGAGGTAAATAGAGTTTTTATGAGATTTCTTCAAATTAGATTCTTATATGCTATTAACAATATTTTCTTGTGTATCAGGGATGTCTTCCATTAACTGGTATAAATGTATGCAAGCTAGAGGATACAGATACAAGGAAAAATGCATTTGAAATAAGTGGTCCAATGATAGATACTATTGTCGCTGTTTGCCAAACCAGAGCTGAAGCTGATAATTGGGTCAGCTTGCTCCAGAAGCACTCGAACAATAGTAGCCCTTCACATGAGCCCTCCCAGCCGCAATCACTACCTCATGTAAGTTTTTACTATTAAATATAAAACATTAATTATATGTATAGAAATATTTCATAAGAATTATTCTTTATTAGTTGACCCGATCTCCTTCTGAAGGGGCTCTCTCTAGCATCAACTCTAGTAGACGCAGTTTATATCACGTGACCTTGCCACCGTCGCACTATCCGTCCGCATCCCCATATTATTCATTAACAAAATATTTTGCGAGGTTGGTCAAAAAAAAGGTCATCACTAGGCAAATGTTGCGTAAACTTCTACACGAAAAGCCTTGGGCTAAAGCGTTCGAACTCACCGGCCTGCCAGTGATGAGGCGGCATAAAAATCACATTAAGCTCAAAATAGATAATGATGGAACTATCGCTGAAACTGATTATTCTGATAGCGATAGGAATTCTGACGACAGTGATAGGGAAGTGGAAACAACTGAAAGTTGTTCTACTTCCAGCTGCACTAACTCAGCATCAGCTAGCACGAATAATTCATCTAAAATGATGAGACAAGATGCAGTCGAAAGTATCGGCCCTAGAACAATTTCTTCTTCCTGTAGCAGTTGGAGTAGCAATTTTGGTTATGTCAGATACTTTGATACGTCAACAGACATGATGCTCGATGCACCAAACCCAAAAGGTGACTGCACGAAAAATATATTTGCCTCTGTACCTAACAAAGCAGATGCCAGTGTAAATGAATATAATTTACAAAAATCTTCGAAATCCAATAATTTGAATGTTTGCATCCCTTATCAACATTCCGGTAGCGCAGAAAATTCTAGTTTAGAAATAAAAAATTATATGGCTTGTGAAGATTTAGTGAATATGGACCAGGATATGCAAATAAGTAATTTTGGCGATGATACAGACTACGTGCCTACGAGGCGAAGTTTCCCTAACTATAGCGTCAGAAACGATATCCCAAAACTATGGAAGTCCACCGAAGAAAGATATACAAGAGAAGACGAAATGAATAACAATCTTATAATATCCGATTTACTACAAGTTCTCGATCCTCCATCACCTAAAAATTCACAAGATTGTCCTCTGGAATCACTTATACTAGATCCACCTCCGATGTTTCGTAACGAAAATGAGGACCTTAAAATTCTAAATGTCAATCTAAACGCCAACGTTCCTTTTCGAAAGCATTCACTCAACTCAGACAAAAGAATTAGACGTTCAGCGTCAAGGTCGATGGTGGAGACGGATAAGAAGAATAATAATGGACATTTGGAGAGAATGAGTTCACAGTCTGAAACGTCTAAAGTAAGACGAAAATGTGAATGCTGCAATCGTTCTTTATGCCCAAGTCCCAGATCTTCAGACTCTGGGGTCGCTGGTAGCTGCAATTTAGCATCACCTGATTTAAACATGCACGGCAATGATTCGGATAGTCACGAGAAAACGTCAAATGACATGAAAGATTCTCTGAACAATCTATCCGATAGTAACTTCAATAATAGAAAGTCAACTTTATCTGAAATCGAAGCGGCGACCTTTGAAGATCAATGTAGATGTACGTCTCCTTTTGGGTCAACAGCTAGAACCTCGTGCGTGACAAGTGTAACCTCCGAAATGAGTTTAGACGTGAAAGATTTATCTAAAACAAACGTAACTCCTACATTCGCCGCCCATCCACCAGTGCCCTCTCCCGAAATCAAACGAACATCGATCAGAAGAAACATCGAGCTATACGTGCCCGAAATTAAAATTAAGCCAGCGGTTCCTCCGCGTATTTATAGGAAGCCAAGCACCCATTTGGAAATACCAAAAAATGTGCGACATCACATGCCATGTCAATGGAGCACATTGAATATTACTGAACGAACAAAACCGAGTTTGCATTATCACATGCGAATATACCGCGAGAAACCGGAAGATAATATGCACAGACTATCAAGAAAAGATATGACAAGAAATTGCGATGTTTTCAATAAGGAACACAAACGGAAGGATGAAAAGACTTCAACATCCCAAAAGACACGGTCACGTAGTGAGGATCTGGCCAAACTGCAGAACGGGTTAACGGAAGCTCAGACCGGTTTCGTGGTCTATCGTTCCGATCTGTACGCCCACTGGTGGATGAAAGCCAAATTACCGATAACCGTGGTCACCGACTCAGGCAAGGATAATTTTTTTGTAAAGTGAAACTGTTTGTGTATCACTGGTTTGAAGATAATGCCTTAAACTTTTGTAACCACTAGATTAATATTATCATTAGATCCCAGTGCTTTACTTGATCATCCTTGCCTGTGTTTATTCATTAAACTAACTGAATAAAAATCACTGCAAATAGATCACACACTAACACATTAAGAAACCTGTGCATGGAGAGGCTTTATCAACGTTTTCTTTTGTAAATTGTTGGGAACCATTATAATTGAATCCCAAATTCGATGGACGAAATTGTAAGACTGAGTGGAGTTTTCTGGTGGTATTATTTGGACCCGTTTCTTGAGAATAGATACTAGTATTTTTTGCCATATTTAGGTTCAGTTCATAGATATAGTGAAATATTTTTGTAACGTTTTATATTTACGTTGCGACACGAGAAGTACTTTCCACATAATAGTTAATAAATTTTTATATGATGTAGAAAAACATGAAAATAAAAGAAACATTTTCTCTGAATTTGTATTTCTCTTTCAAAATATCGAACTTAAATTATAAAAATATTTCTTGTGACGCAGCAGTAATACTTATACGAGAGAAACGTTTAGATAGAATAGTGAGAAACTAGTTAAGTATGAATGACGTGTTAAACTTGTGTTTAATTTTCAGATGGCCTTGAGCGACAGCAATAACGAATTGTCCTCTGGTCTCACTAGTCACAAGAGATCCCATTCATTCAACAATCATCAAAGCTTCACACAGCATACGCAGCAAACACAAAAGAATAAGTCAAAAAATCAATCGGCGCGTTGGCTCCTAAACTCCTGTGACTCACTCGATCAATCGCCAGCTAAATCAAAAATACCTATAGGAAAGAAATTCCCGTCCGTAGATTTCACCGACGCAGCAGATATAAGCTACATTAATAAAGGTGATTTTGTATTTCCTGTGGGATTCTTTAATGCTAGTTCGCTTGCTATTTATAGCGCAGACGACAGTTGAAGGTATTTCGCCAGATGTTTGGTTAGACTACGAGTAATGATCTTGAAATAATAATGGCCCTGACTAATGATATTCTCTTATTTTTGTTTAATCTAAAATATCGATGACATTAACCCAGCAATAACATTTTTGAGACGTTAACTCGATGTTTAATTTAGTTTATTTTTGACACAATTCGTCTATTTTAAGCTGTTTAATAAACAAAACGTGTAGTTGGTGCCAATAAATTTAATTTCAAAGGAATGTTATACGTTTTATGAATCAACTTAAATTTTTTACGTCTAGACACTTTATGACGTCCGGTACTTTTCCCTCAAGAGTTCTTATTTGAATGATAGAAATATTTTTCTTAAGCTTACTTCGTTAAAATCAAATTCAATTTTTTTTATATAATATATTTCTTTAAAAAGGTTCTGTGAAATAAAAAAATGTATAAATGCGAAGTGTTATCGAACAAACATCTTCTTGGCCCGTGTCATTTATTTCCATATTTGTAATATATACTTGTCAACCTCTTATATAAACGTTGACAATGAAAACAAACATTATTTCATTTGTATAGATAATACAAGATAATAGATGACATGTAGATCTTGTGTACTTTCGAGAAGTTCTTACGTTTTGTTTCCTGGGTGTTTTTTTATAAATAATCAATTTTGGAAAAGACACATCACGTTTACCAATAGCACTACAAGATATGTATATAAAATATGAAAATAATCTACACTAATTGGACTCGAACCTATAACTTATATGACATCTCGAATCTATTGCAATATAAATTTAATATAAGGGGAATCTCTAATTCAAGTGTTTTCAGACAACTAAATAACTAATTTGTATCTCATATTGATTGGATCACTATAACAAATTATGTATTTCCAGGGTGGAGTATAACATGTCTTCGTCCGGCGCCGCCACTACGTCCGCAGTCATTCACTGTGGGTTCAGATGAGAACATCGGCCCCACACATCCATACGCGCCTCACCAGAGGAAATCAAACTCCTACGAGGAAGACGCCCTCATACTGAAGGTGATAGAGGCTTATTGCACTTCCGCCCGGTGTCGCAATGCTGTTAGTTCGGGTGAGTACCACTTAATCTCTCACACTAATAATAATTATCTGTCAAAATGTGGGTACTTTGAGTAAATATTCTTGTCTCAGTTGAACTGTCAAGCGTCCTTTAATTTGAACATGATTTCAACAAATAAATAGTAAAACTATTAATAATTTTCTGGTGAAAGAATATTTTCGTTATGTATTCTTTGTACGCACATTTTTATATATTTTTTTTAATAATATGATTCTTGTGACGTGTTCCGAAATGTAGTTCCCATTCATCGTGTTTTTGTCCATAAATGTTATTTGTGTACATTGACATTAAAATAGAGGAGTACTAACCGATTAACAACGTTGTTGAAGTTTTTGTGACGTCACGGAAATCAGCTGAAATAACGGTCGTTCTTATTTTGAAACTACATAACACAAAAAAATCAAACAGGTTTTATGAAAAGACATTTATAATCTATAAAAAAATAAATATATAATTATATAATCTGTATAAATTGGAATGTTTTATTGCATCGACTGTAGAGGCTAAGGTTATACTACTAACATAGCTTTAATTATTATGCAGTACCCAATATACCACTGGAGATATTCGAGTCTACAAGGAGGAGACACGCAAAGACAAGAAATCGTATAATCAGTTGGTTATTAGAATAAAAGACAGTTAACAATAGAGCTTGAACATACATATATGTCGTTCATGTATGCCTTGCGTTAAATACTCCTAACACACCATAATATGCGCATATATCGTAGATGCATGCTTTGTCTATACTAATAATATTAACTATATTCGTAGCTCTAACAATAATCTCATATATAAAGGTACATATTTATATGATGTTTTCTTTTTTATTATAGTACAAAGTAGCTAGTCATTGTTGTTACGTAAACAGTGTTAGTATATAGTAATTTATATATGATATTTAACTGATCTTGACTTATTTATAGCTTGCTCGTATGCCAAATATAGAGGATAAGGAATCTCTATACGTCTCTCTATGAATAATTGTTATCTACTTACTAAATATAATATGTGTATACTAACGTATTAAAATACAACCGCACAATAAAAACCAAGCTAGTATCGGACTAATATCCGTGAAGAGGTCAATCAGAGTCGGTCAGTTTTGAATGTTTCTATTTTGTTACATGCGGCCGCCTTTATACCACCTGCAGTGGACTACGGCCATTATAATTTCGGTAAAGTACAATATCATGCACCCGCTACTAACATGCCTCTTACGCACACCAAACTGTCAGTGACGTCAGACAGGAGTACCAAAGTGAAGCGGAACAAGAGCTCGGCGGACGCTTACATGTACCGGACACCGGATAGGAGATTAGTGACGGATAGGAAGTACAATCTGAATAGATCCAATCCGAATCTATGGGATTGCGCTGAACGGAGGCGGACTAATCTGATTGGTGGGAACGAACGGAGGAGCGGCTCGCAGCCGAGTCTTGTGCCTCTTCGGGCTACAACTTCCCCCCATCCAATACAACCGTCACAGCCGCCACGCTCAGCTCGTTCGTCTACATGGTGCTGTGGGACATTCGTCAAGCAGCTAACTAAATCCCACCACTTCGACTGACAGTGAACCCCCACTAGACTAGTTCCTCCCCCCCACTCTGGCCGCTACCCCCCCTCGCTATAATCCAGCTAGGTGTGCGTTTTGATCGAGTGTCAGCTTCCTAAATCATTCATCAACCGACTAAACGGATCGTGGTGATAGCATGTACATATGTTATAACACTGTTTCGTGTGCCATTTTTTTTCTTTACATAAATATGTCATTGAAGTGTTATATATGTGAACGTAGTTTTTTTTTATCATATTCATAGTGAATTTGTTCAGTATTATTATATATAACGTGCTTAAAGGTTATGGTGCGTTGTGGTCTTAGATGCATGTATTCAGCATAGCACGCTTTCATAGCTAACTAATGAAATCGATTTATAAATCGATTTAATATCTATCTTTACAAATCGATTTCAGGCTTACTGGGATGCGAAATGTTCCTATTAATAATATTAATGTCATGTTATTCTTCTTAAATATAACAACATTAATAATTTAAATGCTTTCGATACTATTATTACATATTTTATAGTTCTCATTAAATTGAATCTTTGTTTTAACATTCTTTTGGATTGATTTTTTTTATCAAATATAACAAGAAAATATATTTTCTTGTTTTGTAAAACTATCGTAGCCCCTACTACTGGTTTTTTATAACTATCAAATTTATGTATTGGTTATGAATGTTCCCATGTCTCATATATGTTGGACTAAATATTGATATGCACCTGAGCGCTTAACGTACTCATTGGTGTAAGTTCATTATGCTTAAAACTTGCGGTAGTTGCGTTTATGTTAATTCTTGATTTTTAATGAGGTTCTGTGAAAGGCTTTTTATGTGTATCCTTCAGTTTTTAGAATAAAATTTTAAGTATTTTTAATAATCACTCACTTTACAGTCCCAAAATGTAAATTTGTATAAAACGTATTTTTTAATACGCACTTCAGAGTTTTCGTCAACCACAGAACCTGTGTTAGGGGTAGATTATAAATAAAAAATATATTATTTATTCAATAAATCCTTCATAGTGATAGCATTGAAAGTCTTCTCTATATTAAATTGTCTTCTTTTGTTTCTATTGAAATTTTTTTTTAACAATAATATTTGTTAAAGCTCGATTCTTATTACGTATGTAAGTAATATGAAAGCAACATTATAATGTATCTTAGGTACAAAATGTTTTATTATGAGAAAAATATATATAGGGTGCTATTAAAATATATGTTAAAATCCAATTGAATGGAATCTTTTAATATAGTTAGTTGAGTTCGTTTCACAATTCATTTTGTGCTCATTGAAAATGATTTCTTACAATCGAAGAATAGGTCCAGTTTTCCATTGAAACTCTTGTTGGCTGATTGAGCCGTCTTGCACAACAATATCTGTTTGTTCGTAGACGCTCGGTGACACAAAAACTTGCGTCTTTTTTAATGTCACAATTGTTATGAATAATTATTACTATTCAGCTCTTCCCTAGATTAAGCATAAGAATGAAACGAAACAATCTTTCATTCGTGTATACGTTCACTAATATATTTTAAGAATGTTATTTATTTTATTTTGTAATGTATTATATATATAATTGTTCCCAATGTAGTTTTATGAGAACAATGTGCTTTACATAAGATTGCAGCGTCACACTACATACTTAGCGTTTCCCGTTTTTTAATCAAATTCTACGTTTAAATAAAAATAATATTTTCGGATTACTACGCGTTATTTTTTTATTTCAAAACTACACACTACCAATAATATAACAACGTATAGTAATCTGAAAATAGTACCTTTATTTAAATGAATACGGAAATCTTAGATCTCATTAAGAAAATCCCAAGTTAATACATTGAAGATTTATGTATGTAAATCTACTACATAAATCTACTTGTAGTGTGCGATGCAAACTTGTGTTAAGCACACAGATCTGTTACACTATAAACAGTTCCGTTATACAAATTAACGTTCAGTTAAACAGAGGTATGTGATCGCGGAAGGTGAACTAGCATTAGTTAAATATTTAATAGCTCACCTGCCATATACCCAGGGTTCGCACATCTAGATTGGAATGTAACTTTTGTAATGAAATCGAGAAAAGTTGATCACAGTTTGATACTAGACATTGTTTAAATTAAAATTGGAATTAGGTCGGATATAACAATCCGTATTTAGTACTGTCAGCGCTCGGGGAATGTATATTTAAATAGTGCTATTTATTTATGCGAACAAATTACGTCTCTGCCGGTAAAAGTTTTGGATGGAAGTTATAACAAATGATCGTAATACCTGTGCTTCCATAATATGCTTCCACGTGCATTCAAATATGCAAGCATTAAAAATATCAAGCATCCGTACTAACAATGCTCTATATGAATTTATACTTTTAAATGTGAACATTAATACGGAAATGTTATTTGTTCTAGCCTATAACATCCAATCAGAATGATTGATTCGAAACTATTGCTAGTCTATGATAAACGATTTTTTGTTTAATTTAAAAAAAGGTTATATATTTTTAATATTATTCTATAGACACGGTTGTTAAATATTTTATTTCTTCTACAGCTATAAAAAAGTAGCCTCGACGGAGGAAGCCATGAATGTCAACCGTTTTACACCTGCTTTGTTATTTTATGCATCTTGCAGAGACATTAACGTAAATAGATTTACGTCGCTGCATATTCTCTGAGAGGAACGTAAAAAGTGGGTGAAATAAATTATGAGCCAATTTCTTAAAACATTGAATATTTACAGCCTCTTGACATTTGTGGTTAATAATATGAAAGTTATCTACGACATAGCACAATATAGAGCAATATTAAAAACCGTCTCGGCTTAAAACGAAAAAAAATAAGAATAAGGCTGTTTTATATGTAGAAAGATGGTTAGATTAAGCGATTAAAAAAAAAGCGAATTAACTCTACCTTTTAGAGACGTCATGAAGCTCAAAGTTTCGAATTAAATAATTTACAAGAAATCCTAAACGAGAAATGTTATGGTTAACAAATTGCAAAATTAACTTTGTCTCTCATCATTAATGATCGACACTTTCATAACCATCCAATTAAATATATGATTAATTTCCATACATACACTATTTGTTCTGCTTTTCATTAAAACGATAAACTACATCTAAAGTATATTTTCAATTTGTCTAGCATTTTGTTTCTTCACTTCATGTATAGCTTTAATATGTGTAATTGATTAGAATAACTCATAAAAAGATGCCAAATCATATATATAATATCACAATTTATGTATGTACTTTCCGTTACTGACGAAACCAAAGTGTTAATACCTTACTTATTATATCCGTTATTATATTATTAATATGTAATCTACACAAAAGTTATCATCTAATGTGTGAATTGTTAACTAAACCACTTAATATCCCGACATTTAGTCTATCCAAGTTAGAGAGTGGTCTTAACTTGAACACAAACTTGAGCCAATTTTCAGGCATGATCTAATTAATATAGGATCACCTATACGACGATTTAAACTATTTCAACTATTAAAATATTACTTCCAAGCAATAAGCAGTGCTTTTAAGTATATTTAAATATAGAGATCAAAGTTAAAAGAAACCTTTAAAATGCTTTTAATTTTGACAATAAATTTACGTTTTCCTAAAATATATATAAGTAAATTCAATCTTGTGCTTATTATATTTTAATTAGAAAACATTTATATTCTTTAGAATTATTACGATCCTGTTTTTTTTTCAGTTTTATCCTATATACTATTTGAACGAAAACTATTTTTTAACAATATATGATGATCACAAAAATATACTATATGTAACAATATCGCTTCCTAGTAAAATATACAGTTATATGAACTAACATTGTAATCTAGTCATATTTAAATTACAGCATGCTTACCATTTGCGCTCCAAAATGAGAAAAATAAATGAAAAAACTATATTGGATAGCAAATGACTCGCAAGTCGAGTTTATGATAAGCCGCTGTGTTCAAATTGGTCTCGACAAAATAAGCTACACATTTATATATATATAACTATTTAAATATCTTTACAAATGTTATAAACAAAGAAAACAAGGCAGGTTGCTAAGTGCTGTAAAACGCAACACATTAAAAGGTCTGTAAAACAATCTTTTATGTAAGGGATGGTATAGAATGTTATTTTAATGTATTCGAAATGCATTAGTTTATGGTATGGGTGGTATAGTTTTATATGTTTATTTTTTTAACCACATATGTTGTATCTATAAATATTTTTCAATAAATAATCTGTATTGTGTATATTTTTTATTTTTAATGTATTCCTATTGAACATCGCACAGACACAAACAATTCATTCAAGTGTACCTAACCAACACAACTGCGACCCTTTAACAAATAGGCTAGGTTCACACAATGCTGATTTCAGTTTGATCTTTGTGAAATATTAATTTCTTTTATTTCAAACTTTAAAATATTGAATACATGCATTATCTTATATATATTTAATAATCACCATGATCAAATTGTATTTGCACTTGTGTGGATTCCGCCTTAACCGTCTTACGTCGTATCATATATCAAGGTTGGTACATCACAAACATGTATAAATAAATTGATATATATTTATGTTTCATTCCTTCTACATGATTACATTTTCAGAATGTGACGACGAATCCCCACTGTCAATAGAGGCCTTAGTTAGATCTCCGTCGCTGCCAATTCACTCCACTTCGAATCACGGGTCGCCGAGCTTGTGGACTATTGTAATGAGATTACAAAACGATATAAAAACATTGAAATTAGACTTTAAAAACTTGCAACAGCAACTGAACGAAGAGAGACAGGAGAGAACTCTTGCCATAGCTGCATTGCAATCACGTAATATTTTTAAAGATGCAAAAGAAAGTAAATGTTAAATAATAAATGCCTACAATAGTATTATTAAAATGAAATTATTTTAACAATATCATAGTTTTATTTATATTCCTATAAATCTACAAAACAGAAAATAATATGAAATGAAAGGTACCAAATAAATCTGTTTTATAGAGCGCGTAATTAATGACCGTGTAATTTATATGCACTCTTTGTCTAAATTAGAACATAGTGTGTTTAATCTGCGGGGATTTGCCTTAATGTAGACATATTATTCTATACGAGCAAACTATAAAGCTCACCCGAACCGTCCAAACGATATAATTCCGAATGTAAGTAATGAAAGTGCACCCGTCTTGTGGCGATTCATAAAGTGAAACTGTTCTGGGCAATATATAACTTACAGTATTCTAAAATACGTTGGGTTCTGCCGGCTGTCGGCTGGCTCGATTCACTGGCTGCTCATTCAGGCGAGCTCGGTGCACTGTATGTAGGTGTAAGGCAAAGGGTAGCAGAGTATTGTGGGCGAGATAAAAATGCCTACAATTCCTTTTGGTTCACTGCTAGCGACATTGTTAATGGGGGATAAGGGAATTATAGTGCAATAAATGTTGAGATGTCTATTAATAACTAAAATGTTAAATAAAGATTTTATGGACCTTAAATTAAATGCTCGTATACAGTTGTCAAAGTTAGTAAGTACATAAATAAAATTTTCATGATGTCGCCTTTCTTTAAGATAAAAGGGCCTTGCTTCAATTACTCTCGCCCGAATTTAGTCGGCCATTCGAATATATCGAAATAGATAAATGGTTTTATTGCTTTTACAACGATGAAAATTCGGAACGATCACGCCGGCCGATAGGACGTCGAGTATTGAGCAACAGCAAATGTTGATATTTAAAATTTCAATTTACTGGCATCCAGCATCCACCGCTGTCGCTGTATTTCCAGCAAAACTAAATTATGGCTATCATTTAAAATATGTCCAGTGAAATGGAAAAATTCTGCTGTGTCGTATTGCTTTCATAATGTTTTACCTAAAATATGATACGATTTAGTAATATACATTTTAATTTGTTTCATGTCGAGTCATTTCGGAATGTTTAAGTACATACTTCGTGAATAAATGTCCTTTAATTTTTTATATTTTGTAAAATATACAAATTATTTTATATTACGTACATATCATGATATGTATTAGGTATATGTAAAGGTAGAAAACTTGTTTCATCCCTACTTCCGAATGTCGACCGTCGTCTTGTGAGGACATTATGTCCATGTCTTATCGCCTTCAGCCGCTTTCTCATTCACCTATTTTCGTATATATATCACATTTTGTTAAAAATTATTTTGTGAAAGTAGTTTTGCTAGAGCATAAACATTTTACAACCGTGACGCTTGTACTTTTAGTATAATAACAAAACACTATTATTACTCAAAGGTGTTTATTCGATTTGATTGACTTAATAATTATATATACAAATCAGCACCAATGGCACATGAATTTTGGCAGTATAATTAAGATATGCAGTTATGATAGAAATGGCGTATAATTTATGTAAATCAATTATTATTCTGAGTGTTTGATGTAAACCTATGCTGGAAGCGCCAACGGTCTCTCCAGCAATGGACCTGGTTACGTATTCTTGATACATCTGCTGCGTATGTACGACAGCACCCGCCCACGTATCGTACTCCTAAATCCAACCATTCCTGGATGAACACTTCCACGGGCTCACACTTATCGCGGTCTATCCATCTACGAAGAAAGTTATATTATAGTTATGAAGATGCCTCATAGTTCTTTGTTTATTGTGATGTAATATATCACACATATTACATTTTAAAATTTCAAGTTACTAAAGTGATATTTTGAAAAAATGTTACGAAAATATTTTCTATATCAAAATCATAACAATTTAATCGTTTCGAAAATACAGCTTGTGACGGATAACTGTTAACAAATAAATTTTCGATTTAAATTGAATATCATTTTGATGGCGATCGCTATCAAAAGATCCGACTAATGATAACAGAAACTAATCAAAACGTACCCAATTTGCGGGTTGTACTTTTCGCCGGAGTTGGGGTAAACGATGAGGGGTATGGGGTCGTGCGGCCTATCGTCATTGATCCCCTTTAATAGACTGGTCACAAACGAAGGGGCGCAGCAGTTCACCCCCACAGCCACCAGCTGATCTGAATTCGACTCCCAACATTTCTTAGCCACTTTTTGAAAACTTTCACCGTGAGCTATGCTTTGATTATCCTGGTAAAGAAAAATAAACGTTATTTGTTTTTAATGAAGACATGATCAAATTAAAAAAGAATGTTCTGTAAAATTAACAATTAGTTATTAAAAATAAATTAATTTAAATGCTTTACTGAAAATAATTCGATATTAAAATTCACATATATATTTTTTTGTATTTTTATACTCTTCTATAAAACAGGTAATAAATTCAAGAGTTTACTTTCGTTTTAAATATTAAAATTAGAAAAGCGCAGAAACCGAGAACATATTTTAAAGATAAACTAAAACAATTTTAAAGTCATGACCTGAGAGATATTAAGATTGTATGGAAATCTTTTCTTCCAATCACTTTGTAAATAAGTTAAAAGTTTATATGCCTTTATTGTTTCGTGCATATGCTTACCTTGCAACTGAATGATAGCCATGCTTTCATATTGGGAAATTCGCGCAACAAGTCACACAACATCTCGGCCTCTTCTTGACAAGGTATCGTCTCTAAAGCCAGTAGATCCACTCCAGCTTCTATTAATGCTTGAATACGAGGTCTATGCCATTCACGCATTGTCTGAAACATATTTTAAAAAATATTTTCTAAGTACATATATTTCTTCTATACTAATAATTGCTATCTCTAGAATTCCTTAACCTTTTTTCTTATTTATAAAAAGTGTACTAATTAAAATCCTTAAAGCCAAAGGTCTGGTGTTGGCTATTTTTAGTAAGTCATTTCAGTCCTCTTCATAATAAACTTATATTCAAATTCATAATTCCGTTCCAGTCCGGAAGATTAAAAAACGTCATTACGTATAAAAACCACAGTATTTGAGTTTTCCAACATTTTCATACATAAAAAGTTCTCATATAACAGACGTTGTATTCGGATTATACGGTTATACTCTATGGACCTACATACATATATTTCATAATTTTAAATTTATTCAAAGCTATGCAATCTGCAGTCCGATGATAATATATAAACACTAATATATATCTTCATCATCACAAAAGTAATTAAAAATATTGTTTTTTTTTTTTCGTTTAACTCATACTACTTATAAATAATCATGAATAAATATATGTGTTACTAAAAACATACTGATTTTTCTACTTATTGTCTAAAATTCGTTTCAGAATAACTTATGACTTAAGAAATTTTTATTCAAATATTTAATTCATCTAAAACTTCCAGGCTGCGTTCGAAGAAACGCAAAGTTTCGAAGGTTATTTTATTCTAAATTGCAAGCTAATTTAACTGGGGATACTTTGAATGTATTTCATTACAAAAAATTATTTCTAATTACAGCATGGTCGTTTTTATTTAACTTTACTTCAAAGTCAATATCGTTATTAGTTTCAATATCCTTGTTGATTTTCCTATAGTCAATGCATTTTCAAAAGCTTATATTGGCATAACCCTGCAAAGCTGCCTGCACTTTGACTTCGAGAGCTCTAACTATTTATGATTACCTGCGGGAGGTATTCAGTATCTACTTGTAAGGAAAGTAGAACAGATCCACAGCTGAGTGTGCGACGTGTACTTTTTGAAATATTTTTCATTTTGTTTTAATTAAATAAGATATGAAGGGTTCTTCAGAAAATCTTATTCAATTACATAGCAAATGTGTAAGAGTATCTACTATTTGCGTGACTACTTAAGCACACTCGAGGAAAAAAGAATACAGACATGCCTAAGTAAACATTATACCTATATGTGAATTAATGAACGTATAACTTAGATTTTGAATATTGGTATAAACAGCAAACGAGCAAGTAATTTATGGGGAAATGTTAATTCTAAATCATTGCCTGAAAGCAATAACGACCGTCACAGATGCCTATAATATAAACCTTTTTTATTGTTCATGAACAATATGATAATTTTCGAATCAAACAATATAGTAAGTCATCAGTATTTTGTTTTGTCTAAATTAATTAAATTAAGTGTGTATCCGACTCAAATAAAGACGGAAGAAAGTAAGAAAGAAATGGAGTTTTCGTCTAAACGATGTAAATTTTAATTTGCTAGGAACTTTACGACCCTCTTTACGATTTAGCCGGCGCTTTTAACCTTTACTTACGGCTATTGGTATTCAAAGTGGCCGGGGCTCACAAAAAATATTATAAATACTTCAATAATGATCCATACAATTAACGTTGATAGGTACATATATTTGCTCTCCTTTTGATATGATAATTTTGTTTATGTTTACTTAAAACGATTCAATAACAGCAATGGTTCGCAGCGGTTTGATAACAGATAAATGTAATGTCATATGTCCTGTCAGTTCTGGTGATAATGTTGTCGTTAATGTCTACCTACCCAATAATTTAACAACAATAACATTTATAAAATAAATATTATCATCACACCGAGCGACAGTGAAGTTTTAATCAAATTAACTATCGTATTCAATACTAATAAAATCTGTTCGTTAAAAGAAAAATGCAAAGAACTTAACAGTTTTTATCGTTTCAGATAATAGGAAAGCTTTAATTCAAAATCGATCGGGTGACCTGAACGTCCAAAATTGTTCTGGGATGTAAAAATAGAAACAGACGATGTACCTATGTATAAGAATCTTAATTCATCAGATTATATGATATATTATTGAATATATGTGTGGATTCGGATGGGATTAAGTAGCTTAGCGTTGTACCTGAACAGATGTTGTGTCCGCGTAACTGCCGTCGTATTCCGAGCCATCGTGCAAATGAGCCCCATATGGTCCTACAGATCCTACAACTAGTGGGACGTGATCTAAAACAAAAAAACTTAGTTGTATGTGTGACTTGTGTTTAGTCTTTAATTCATGTAACCATACAAACGAGCAAGGAGATGTAATTAATGCGCGCCTGCATCCGTCCCTTACAAACTAGAATATACTAAGTTGCGTTAAGACAAACTAATGAACATGTTAACTTCAAGATCGTGTTGGAAATAATGTGTCTGTATTGTAACATATTATGAAAATAGTTTTGGTTTATAACGTTATTAACTTTATTATATATACCATAGAATTTTAGTGGCTAAACAAACTAAATGATTATTTAAGTAGAAGTAGGTCAACTCTTTGAAAACTTTGTACTGTAAACCGAATACATGAATACAAGTCATTTCTCATTCATTATCTGGTGCCGTTTGTTGTTGTCTATAAAAATACTAACCGTTTTGTATGTAATTCTCATACTCCTCAAGATACAATGTACGAGCCTGCTTCGCGAGTTCAACAGCTCTGGTGATGAGCTCATATCCTTGCTCCGGTGTCAGGTCCAAGTGTTCCACAAAACCCTCGACGGATGCTTGATATGTATTCGTTATTATAAAATTGGCCCCAGCTGTAAAATTTTAAATAATGTTAAACTCAACAAAACCTACAATGAAAATGTTTGCAATAGTCGGTTCATATTTCATAAGTGCTTACAACAAAAAACAATGATGTTGCGAATTATATGGAGCTTTAGTATAATGTTTTATTTTACAAAAACTTGATTCCTTTTTTATATGGTTGGGTTTTACAGAGCCAAGGTAAAAACTTAAACAAATATTCAATTATACCCGTATGTAAATGTTATGTGAATGTAAATATTAATAAAACATAAAAATACTTCCTTTAATATATTTTATACTTAATTTATCAGAATATTAAGAGTATAAACATTTAACAGAAACTGCTGTCGCTTGTCAAAACTAGAGTAACTCAAATACGTATTAGGAAACTAAATCCATAAATACAGTGAAACTTGTACGTCGTTATTATTATTAACTGTGAAAAGGGTGAGCTGTAGCGACGTACACAATTAATGTTATTAAAACTTAGTAATGCAATATGATCCCAAGACCAAAACCAGTTAAGAGTAACGAATATTTGTTGGGACGAAGAAATTAATTATGTAGTAAAGAGAACGGGATCAAAACGGAAACGTATTAAAGAGACAAGGTGATTAATGGCACTGTCATTGCATTCACAACTTAAGCACCACCCGACAAACCCCAGATTCTGTAAAGTGCTACGATGTTTGCGTATTCTGGCATGCAGATTCAACTACACGAACAAGTGACAAGCTATGACATATTGACATATGGCTTTGACATATTTACTAGATTTAATCATTTAACATTTTGAAATAATTTCTGCCACTTATATATTAAGTCAGGATTAAAAAATATATGATATCGCAAATGACATCCTTAGTAAACGACATCATATTTTTGTTTACTCATATCATTCTAGTATATAGGCGAGCGATAAAGCAAGGCAGTAGGTTTCGCCTCCAGGGAGTTATTTGCTTGCAGACACTTTTCAGCTTTTCCTTATGAAAAGAAAACGGTTTTGTGGCAAATAAAGGCGCTTTCATAGGACGATGACACGAGACGGGGTCACACTCTCGCCCTCAGTCCTCGGATGGAAGGAAATGTCAAGCTAAAAGCGACCTAACGTGTAATTCGTCAAAACAGCCATGTTCGTAGGTATCTGCGAGCTCCTCATAATGTGTCTAGATATTCATTCGCACGCTGCCTTTGTATGAGAGAACAACGTAATTACTTCGTGTTTAACATAACCTAACATAGTAATTGTTTCTATTTGAGGCTTAAAATAAACAGTTTGGGATATATTGATTTATTTATGACACAAGAGTTGAATAATTAACCAATAACTACCCAAAGGTAACCTATAATTTTACAAAAATTAATGGTGGTGATATAATTTTATTTTATACAGCAGTTCAAGCATGAGTGAGTAAATAACAAACGTTGTTATTAATGATACAAGTAGTATTCATCTATTAATTATTATGATTTATATTTATTACATGTCGACACATCTACTGCACGATGTATGGAAAGATCATCTTTTTAATACTTTTCAAATCAATTACACTTAACGATGATTAAATAAATTCAATTAATATTATTTTGTTGCTCAATAATAATTTTAAATTTTAATTAAATTAATAACTTCAAAATATTTGTCATTCAATTAGGATACCTATCTCTCGTTTAAGTGCCTCCTTTCAAATTCATAATTAAGTAGCTACCGGTGGCAATTTGTCTTGAAAGTAATTTAAACTTACCTCTAAGGAAGTCAAGATGAGTATTCACAACCTCGTTGGGGTGTGTGTGCAAGAAGCGGGCGCTCCAGAGAGGGTCACCGTCAATGACATGACCTACGTGACAGGAAAGTTGCGTAGAGAATCCTCCGTCTAAAACAACTATCTGTGGCGGTTCCACACCGTCCTCATTTGTTGGTGTCATTTTTTTTAACTATCTAAAACAATTATTACAAGTAAATTAATATTTTCAAACGAAATATTGTTGTTATCAAACGTAAGAGTATAGATATTTTAAATGAACTTATGCTACTTGTCGCCCATTAAACACAATTACTGTCAAGTAATCGGAATCGCGTTAAAAACATATTTAATAAAATTCAAGTGAAGTTCATAAACAAAATTGCGATTACTTAATTTATTCCCAGGAAGAGTCTTAAAGTCATATTATAAACTAAGTTTCAAAAGTTTTAAAATATATAACTTAGCTTAGTTATATATTTTGGTTACCTTTCATAATAAAAACATATTTAACAACTCTTGGAAATGTACCAGTATTATATTTTGTTGCCATTACGGGATAAAAATTATGATAGCTAATCGTAAATTGTGCCGGCAATACAAACGTATGAGATAATGAACCACGTTAGATGTTGTATGAATATGTAATTAATAATTATGCAAATTGATATACAATTTGTCCTTACGTTCGGTAGCACTCACACGTGCCGTGAACACGTGGCCAACTCTCGCTTCATAGTTGTCTACACTTATCTATTACGCAAGACGATGATAAACTACTCTATGTATTGCACTCGATATGAAAATCTATTAAGTCTTTATATAATTAGTCATTTTAAACGTTTAATTTCATCCGCCTATTAAATTAATATAAAAAAGAGCTCTTCGATAAGAGAAGATAACACCAACATAAACGATGTTTTTATTTTTTGTTACTTGTAAATATATTTTGAGATATTATATCATATATTGCTAAACATATAAAAATGACTGTGACCGTCACAAATATACTGTTAAAAATATTTGTTAAAACCTATTTTATTATATAGAAAACTATTTTAGAAGTTGTTGATTGTGGTCTATTCTGTAAACGAGGAGGACAATTGAAGTAATTGTTTTGTGAGGAATTGCGTCGTTTGTAGTATCTATTTAAATTCAAGTTATCTAGTGCATACAGACAATGATTACAATTTCAATTTTGCAATATCATACTTTAGCTTAAAAACGTTTTTAATTTAAACTTAAAGTTAGTTGTAGTACAATTTCATTAGCAATAATTTTATCATTTCGTATCAAGTCTGTTAATTAGGGAGGTGAAATATTGAGATGTTCTCGCTTTTCCTCTCGGTGTAATGCGATCAATATCATTAAGGGTTCAGAATGAAATGAAAGGAGGGTGTGCCTTTATCGACAAAGGTTTGTTATTTGTTGTAACGTATTGGATACAAGAGCCCAAAAACTCCGTTCACAGATAAGACAAATTGTTTCTGAATCAATCAGTATTTAAATAAACAATGAGACAATGTGAGTTAAGTCACGTAATTTGATTTAAAAAAATATATTACGTATATTTTATGATATATTTTGTTTAATAAAAAATAACGCTTTTGTCTCATATATTATTAGACCATTCAAGTGGTACCCTTCGGATTTTTTCGCAACATTAATGTCGTTAATGCCGTTTCTTTGAGGCACGTAGTTTTCTTAAAATGAATACGAGACTTTTTAAGTTAGCATTCCCAGACTTTTTAACTTAGCATTCCGTCTCAAAAAATATTGTAAGTAATAAGTTTTTATTAGCTCATTTTAACGAGCCATAAAATCAGTGCAAGAGAAAGCAAGTGCAAAAAGTGGGTATTTTATTCTTCAAATATATTTCTGGCGACAACGATATTTTAGGAGAGTCGACATACACCTGAGCTCTAGTGTGGTCAAGATGAGAGTAAAACGGAGTTCGTAAAGATTACTAACGATAATCTGTAGCTACCATAAACTGTACAAGCATTGAATTTCATCTGTTCAATGCTCTACGTGTATTATTTATTCAACAAAAGAATTATGAGTTGCAGCTCAACTAGAAAGAAACATTTACTCTTTTTAAAATAGTTTTCTAATAAAATTTAACTTAATATTCCTTTACATATACGAGTATGCAGTAACTATCTCTTAGTTAGCAAAGTTATTTATTTTTCAATTATTGGTGTTAGCTTAGACTATACCTATTTCATAACTGCCTATATACGTAAATAAAAATCACAACTAAAATGATACTCATATCCTTGTATATAAATTGTTATATAAAAATAAAAATGTCACTAATATAATATCCTCATATATATATTTATATATATACATCGTCCGGAAATCATATTACAATTTTATTTAAAATATACCTTGATATATCCGTCATATAAAATGACTACATTAAAATGTTTTGATGTATATGAAGCAACGCCAAGAGAGAGAGATTTTAATGTCAAATAACCTTCACCGAAACCTTGAATTTAGATAAAGTTACACATACAGTATTATAATAAATAACAATAAAATACACGACAGTAAAAATCATTAGTAAAATGTACTTACATGATTTATAAAATAAATGCAAAAACAAAATAAATGCTATGAATAATTCTAGATGTTCATAGCGAAGGAAGAAAAACAACTAAATAAGCGACTAAAAACGCGTACCACGTCGGGCCTACAACAACAGAACTCGCACATTGAGACATATCGCATCTTCCGCGGACAAAATAAACTTCTATCAATATAAAAAACAGGTCGAGGTTACCAAAATCATATACTCGCTAATACAAAGAATATCAAATAAAAAATTACCTTAACCGCTTAGCGCATTGGTACATACCTACGTCGTAATAAAACCTTTAAGTTATAGTATTATATGTTTAAAATTGTAATATATATATATTTAAAAAACGTATATTCAACTTATTTTTTTCATTACGTTTGAAGTTTCGTTAAACCGTATCAAAAACTTGATACTAAAAGTAATAGCTTCCTGATTTCTTAATTAAAAATAAAAATTGAATTTTATTATTTAATCATATTTAAGATTTTTTTTTGTCTCTAAATGTAACGTTTATAGCAACATTATGCGTCAATCCGTGGAATTGATTGGTTAACAGCCGGCGGTTTCAACAGACTAGATAGATATAATAGAGTTATCAACTTGGAGTAACGCACTAAAGAGATGTCACCAAAATTTACAATATTTATTATTATAAAAAACAGTCGCTATGTTCTGCCATTAGATTAGATTAGATTTTGTTTTGATAAAATAGCAGTATTATTGTTCGTATACGTTGTAGCCCAAACGTTCTTGTAAATGGAATTAACTTTGCAATTTGAATAAATTTGAATGATTGTACCGTTAGTAATAAAATTCTATATTTTTTTTTTACATCAGATATAAATAATAGGAAATTTATTTGGTGGGTGGTTATATTAAAACCTTAGATTGCAAAAATAATATGTTGCTGTCAAAAAAACGCTGGGAAGGAAGGGGTGAATTTTACCTCGTCTCTATATTCTTTTTCACATAGTGAAGGGGGCAGAACCATGCTAGAAACAGCCAATTTTCTCTCAATCATCTACTGAAAAAAAGATCCTTTAGTAACCAATAATTAGCAGATAAGTTATCAAAGTCTCATCGGCACTGTAGATATTGACTCCTAACTTCGTCTGATTCCGAGCTTTACGGTAAAAATGCAAACTTGACGATACTATTCAGAACATTGGGATGAGATCATTACTTCTTTGAATACTATCCTTAGTTGTGAATTTGGTTTTCTACTGCAGAGAACTGTTCAGATGCGCAGATACTATATTGATGGGACGAATCGCCCCGTGATTCACAGACGAGCGTGATCAGTTTTGAAAAGTGGAAGTTTTGGGTCCATATTTCTTGGATACCTGCTTGAGAAGGGAAAACTCGAAATTTTTACAACCATTAGAGCCTTTTTAAACCTCGTCGGCAAATCCGTTCAAATAGACAAAACAACATTGAAGCTCTCATCGTTTCTCGTGACATCTCGAAAGTTTCGACAGGATATGCCATTATGTCCCTTCCGACTAGTTTTAAAGTTATGATATACATAAGTATACCAATATCTAATCGCCAGAATTTCTGCCTTTCTGAAGGACCTTGTTTTTTGAGTAGTTGTTAATAGCTCTTAATCAGTACTAATGGTGGACAACATACAGGTTTTTCAGGGATCTCACCTTTTCGTAACTTTTTTTCGTCTGTTTTCCTAGCATCTGTGTTATTACTATCCAAGCAAAAAAATTTATTTACCATAAAGTCCGATAATGGTCAAGTTCCATCCAATTCATAATAAAAAAGGTAACAAATAAAAATTATATGCAATATTAAGTCTCAAAGCGCTTTTGATAAATAACTCTACCTGTATGTTTAATACAAGGGCCAAAAAATTCATACAAAATTTGTGGTTCTTAAAAAATACAAAAATATAGCCGGGTCTCTTTTGACAGATAATAGGGGGACATGAAGCGATTCCAATTAAAATATCCGAGCATTTCAGCTCTTTGAATTGAAATGTCTGTCTATGCTTGGTCACTTTAAAGTCATATAAGTTGTTACGCTCGCGATTCATATTTTGAGTGAGCATTAAAGTGAACATAAAATAGAGATACATATATTTATATTTTTATGTTTTTGCAATTCTTTAAAAATATTTTTTGACCCTTGAAAAAATGGTATCTTTGATTTTTATTCCTAAGGTTTAATTACGAAACTTCTCTTGCAGAAGGTACTAATTGTTGGTTTTCTAAGTGTTTCTAAATCTTTTTCTTCCTTCGTCATTTTATGCGTATATGATCTTAACTAAAATACAAAAAAACGGTTAATTTAAACTGTAAAATATTATCAAATTACATTAAATGTCATAGTTATTTCCCAATGTATATATATAATATGTATATGACTAACATGAAAATTGAATAATTACCACTACTCAGCATAAAATGAAAATTTTATACACAATAATATCAACATAGTGGCCTAAAACAATGTATCTTGCAATACTATATTTCTAACTTTTGTGAAGGGTAAAAGCTTATCCCTAATGACCAATTTGTCTTCAAGAAAATTCTGAAAAAAGAAAGGAAACATCTTAATGAAGTTAAGCAAGTAACTTTTTCTTT